CATAGGGGTGCAACCAGAGGCCAGGGTGCTGAGTGCCTGTCCCTGGGCTCCACCCCCTAGATGCCCCCACCCAACTGCCCCCCATTCTAGGAGGGCACATACAGCACACACTGTACATAGTCTGCATAGAGATGAGGATGCTTTATTTGTGGTGGGTGGTGGAGGGGCTCTGTGTGGAGCAGGGTGATGGGTCTGGTGTGGGGTGGGTAAGGGCTCTGTTGTTGGGGAGGGAGGTGGAAGGGGGAGGTCTGTGTTTGTGGAGGGGAATAAACTGCTTTTCTGAAAACTGTCTGCAGTGAGTGTGGTGCTGGGAGTGCATGCTGGGGCTGGGGCTTGGGGCCAGGTGGGCTACAACAGGGGCTGCAAGAGGAGGTGGTTGGCCACCACTGGTGGGTGAGTGACTCACCTGGAGCCCTGACTGGGGGGCCATCTTTAAAAGCCAGCCCTATTCCTTGGCCACCTGCCTTCTTGGCTCGGAGCAGCCTGCAGAGCACAGTGCTAGCATACAGTGGCTGTCACCAGAGCCTCTGCCTGCTGTGCCATGGCTGCTCCACCCCCAGGCCCTGGGAATGACGTCCTCTGCCCTGGACTCCTACTTGCCACCCTGCTCACTGTTCTGCCCCGCTGTGGGGATTGCCACTGTTGCTGCCACCACAGCTGCTACTCCCAGTGTCAGGCATCCTCTGCTTGCTGCGTCTTCTCCACCTGGGCCTCACAGAAGAGCCCTCCTGGGCCTCACAAATGTTATGCAGTTCTCTGGTTGCAATGATGACCTGTGGGATGTTGGCTTCAGCAACTTTGAGTCGGGTGGTGAGGGTGCACCAGCATCCCTTGAGGCAACTGAAGGCACCCTCCACCAGGGGACAGGTCCTGTCCAGGCACCAGTTAAAGTGTGCCTGGTGAGGGTCCAGCTGGCTGGCGTAGGAGTGCATGAGCCAGGGGAGGAGGTGGAGTCCTGATGAGGAGAGGCAGGACTGCCATCTTGCCCAGCTGGGGTCTGGCACCCTGGGTGCAAAGCACCTGCTCTCCACCAGGGCTGGCAGGGTAGAGTTGCAGAAGACACAAGCATCTTGGGCACTGCCCACTGAGCTGCCTCTTACTTTGGTGGAGGCGCCACAGCAGTCAATGTAGTAGGGGCAGTCACTGCAGGACCGGTAGGTGACATGGATGTCAGTCTCATTCAGGGCCCTGATGCACTGGGGGAAGCCCAGAGGACGGACCCCGCCACCACCTCCAGGGGGTGTGCACCCAGAGCACAGTGTGTCTCAGCACATCCTGGAGGGCACCATCCACCTCCAGGATGGCCTCCCTGACAGTCACCTTGCCCATGCTGAAGAGCTGGCTAACAGCTCAGGTTGGCAGGCATGGCCAGCTTGAGCAGAGCAATGGGCCACCAGGTCTCCATGGGGAGGAGCCACTACACAGTGGTGGTCTGCTGCTCTAGGTGCAGTGAAGCTGATCGAGGAGCTCCTGGAAGGTGGCCTGGGTCATCTGGAATGGCTCTAGCTACTGCTTCTTGCCCCAGGTGGTCTGGATGATGTGCAGCCACCAGTCCTGACTGGCTGGGCAGGCCCACAGGTGGTGGGGTAGGAAGCTAAGGAGTATGTGGATGGCCCCCATGGTGGTGTCCAGGTGCGAGGCATCAGCATCCCTACCAGGGTCTGAGCAGCAGCACAGGGTCCAGGCAGTAGGCGCATGGTGGGAGGAGGCCTGGGACACTGCGGTGAGCCAGGCCAAGTGGCTGTGCCACACAGCAGGGCCACCAGGGCCAAGACTGACTTGGCCTAGGTGGTGGTCACCATGATGGGGCAGCACAGCGAGCAGGGTGACAAGCAGGAGCCCAGGGCAGAGGATGTCGCTCCTGGGGCCTGAGGGTGGAGCAGCCATGCCACAGTGGGCAGAGGCTCTGGTGACAGCCACCATGTGCTGGCACTGTGCTCTGCAGGCTGCTCCAGGCCAGGAAGGCAATTGGCTAGGGAGCAGGGAGTAGGGCTGTCTTTTAAAGATGGCCCCCAGGGGGCAGGAGCTAATTGTTGCCAAGAGTAACAAATCTGCTCCCAAAACCCTGCATGTGTAGATGCCTGCCCATGGTGGGTTTACTCCACAGTAAATTACTTTGAAGTAAACCCATCCAAGAGTATTTGTACATGTAGATGTGTGCACTGAGGAACAGACTTGGAGGAAGTGGCTGCTTCCTAAGTGTAAGGGTTTACTTACCATGCCAGCTCCTCATACTTTTTTTTTTACTACACCTATTCATGTATGAGCCCTGCTAAAGCCATAATTTAGGGAAGTGAATTCCAGTGAAATTCTGCCAATAGAGAGCATCATCCACCCTGCTGAAATGATACTAAGCTTATCTCTCTTTCTCCTAACACACATGATCTTCTGTGGGAGGGGAGTTCTGTCTTTATATAGCTGGTTCTCAGTTCTACTGCCTGGGGTGTCCAGGTTCCACCTCAGGCTGGGGCTAGGCCTACTGCCATGGGGATGACGACTCCAAATGCATCATCAGTGGCACTTGCTACTTTTTTTTTTTTATACAGAGTGACTTGTACTGGGCCCTGAAACTTCTGTCCTCTTCAGTGGCAATGCATAGGGGGTGCATGGGTGCTGCCCCTGAGAGCACTGGTGCACCCCCTGAGAGGCCACACTGCCCACTTAGGCAACAGGCAGGGGGCACAGGTGGGAGCACTGGTCCCCTCCCTGTAAGTACCGGCCAGGGAGTGAGCACACTGTGGCCACTTCCAGGAGTGCCGTGGCCACTTCCCGCTCAGTGCGATTGGCCAGTCGTTGACTGCTTGCTGGGGGCCATGTGCCCCCCCCCGACTAAGGTGGCACCAGTTGCCCATGGTCCTCTCTGCCTACAAGCTATGTTCTTCTCAGTCAGAGTATGACGTTCCCAAAGCAATGCACCCAGTTTCATGCAGTTATGGACAAACACCTGTTAATTTGGAAGTGAGATTGCCCGTGTGTCCTTTGAATGCCTTTTTTAGCTATGGCAAAATAGATGTAAAAATGATCATTGGACAGTTTGCTTTTGTGAATAATTTATTTGCTGCAAGGCAGTTTCAGGTTCATCAATTCTTAGTAAATTGGAGAATAATATAGCTAGTAGTTTTGGTGGGATAAAGAAGAAAGCTTTAAACATAGAAACAGTTTGTTTCCATATTGCCCGAAAGTTTGAACTGCTTAGTTTTGAAAGGCTCACATGAGACTTTAGACACCATTCAGAACCAGCAAGGCCAAGAGGAGTGGTCTTTAACACTTGCTTGCAGTGTGGGAGGCAAAGGTTGAAATCCACTCAGTGCATGATTCTTAGCAGAGATTTGAACTGAGGTCTACTCATAGCTCAAGAGAGTGCCTGAACTACCAGGTTATAGTGGCATTCTCTCTCTCAGTCAATATGTTACCCATGCATGCACAGCAAAACAGCTTCAAGAGTGGAGCCCAAGACACGTACTCCAGAAGGGAGTTCTCCTGAAATGTGAACTTACTTCAGATTCCTGCTCTGAATCCAACAGAGGGATTTTGAACCCACCTTCCTATTCCTTATTGTGTATCTTAACCTCTAGCATATACAGCAAGAGCAAGGTTATTAGCACTATAGTGTTAGAGCTACTATAGGCTAAAAGGTACTCCACCATCATACTGTCCTCTTCACTGGTTTTATGAATGGTACCTAGGTCCTCTTGTGAATCTAACACTTTGCTTTTTTTAAAACAAGCCTAAACATGATGAATTGTTTGTACAGAAATGGATTTTTAAATATATTTTTCAGCAAATTTATTTTTCAGCCAAATTTAGTTAGTCGTACACCCCTAGATCCAAGAGTGACCATCTTAAGATACACACAACAAGGTCTAATGAATGTGGTTGCAGAATTATATTGTTGTTGCTGCTATTTGCTATAATTATGCTGATTTTTGGTTTCTTGTATTTAACACAGCTGTCTATTTAAATTGGCATTAAAAAGATGAAAAACTACATACCTTGAATCTTAAAACAAGGTGATTTTACAGGCAGTTAAATTAGATACATACATACTAGCCAGAGCTTCATGCAGTCCCTTCTTAGCACTTGAAATAAATTGCTGCTCTCTGCCATGTCATGTTCCCTCTGCTCCTCCCAGGTGCAGAGAGAGCAGAAAACACAAGTCCTTACATGTGCTGTGGGAATACTGCTTAGAGAGGATTTAGGGTGAACATGATTCCAGGATTTGCCTCGCTTTCAGAAGGATGGTTCCACTCACTCCATAGCCACACATACAAGAGGGCAATTCCTCAGATGCTGAAAGCCACAGCATCTAAACTTTGAAGAGCAGCCCTGTTTGCTTTATTTGGCCACCTTGGAATGTGTGACATGCAAAAGTCTTCACAGATCTGAACAACTGGAAAACATATGGGGTGAAATCTTGGCTTCACTAAAGTCAGTTTTACCACTGAATTCAGTGGAGCCAGGATTTCATTTGTTGTCTTTATTTCTTGACATTTATAAATAGCAACATACTGTTGCATGCTGGTACCTCCATATAATATTTTCACTGTATGTTCTTCAGTCACCACTCAACAATCCTTGTCCTTCAATTTCTTCCCTGCTTTTTGTTGACCTCCTAACTTTTTCTTTCTATCTGGGAGCTGATACCCTCTTTCTCTGGATTGAATACATAATTGCACACCTAAGTAAAACTGTCTTAATTGATTTTTGCCTCAAGAGCCTCTTGTTAGCTGCATAGTTGTTTAGCTATCAGCAATGCGCATAGCATAGGAACTGCCATGCTAGAATAGATCTGTGATCCACCTAGCCTTTTATTTTGTTTCCAAAAGGAGTTGTACCAGGTGCTTCAGAGAAAGATGTAAAAAGGCCTGTGGCAGGTAGACATCTATTTAAAGAATATGTCTGCTCTCTGCTTAGGAGAGTATAATACTACCTAGAGGAAAGTAAAACAGGGGTGGAGTGAAACAAGTTAAAAAAAAACAACAAAGAAAGGCTAATTTAAATCCAATATATTTTTATTCTTTGTAAATACAATGAGTACAACTTTTTAACTTCACAAATCAGTTAATCCACTTTGTACAAGAAAAGTTTTACTCATTCTATGATAGTCCAAGTGCTGATTTTTCTCAGTGCTAGTTTCTAACAACAAATCAAAATTTGTAAAGTACAGCAGCTATCTTTTAAATGATTTTTCCTACTTTTTCATATGTATTGTCTCATATCAAATAAGCAGCTTATAACGTGTGTAGATGATCAAGGCTTTCATTAGAACCTGGAGTCTTCTAAAAAAAAAAGGCATTGGAGAGTCTCAAAGACCGTTAGCATTGTACCAATCAGCCATCTTTATTTCTTCTAAAGTAAGCTTTTTTTCCCCATTATTTTTGTGAGTTATTTCACCTTTCTGCACATCTCACTGACAAATAGTTTGGCCACCATTGCCTTTGGTTTCAGCACTATGTCAATGGGACAGCGATCTGCATGCTTAAATCAATCGTCTCCATTTTATTTGGTTTTGCTGTTTTAGTCTTATCAGACTTGTCTTTTATTTTGTTTTTAGGGATGGATGTGTGTGCGTGCGTGCGTGCGTGCGTGCGTGCCTGTGTGTGTAAAGCTCTTTTGTCTTTTAGGTGTTAACCAAACCAAAATTCTGGTGAGGTTCTCATCAAAGTTCACCAGTTCATTTTACAGGAAGGCCTGGCCTATTGGTTCCCAAACATAACTGCCATCATAAGCTACTTTAAAATCAGTTCTGAAGGCCACTTTATGATGTATTACAACAGAAGCAATGTTTTGGTAACCTGATTTTAAATGTTTCCTATAATATTAAGAACATATTCACCAACATAAGCTACTCTTAAAACAGTTCTGAAGGCCACCTCATGTCGCATAACAAATAGGAGCAAAGTTTGGTTACACAATTCCAAATATTGAAAGAAATATAAAGTACCTTCTTTCACATTTTATCTTAATCTGCCGGCTAAAGGAGAGAATAGCATAGTCTTTGTTAACTGTGACTGACAAATGAATTGCTACCACCCTATAGTAACAGGAGAAGCAGCCAAATTCCATCCATTGCAGTCCATCTGTGTGGAAAAGCATTCTCTCCATGATCTAAAGCACTCTGTTCAAGGCAGAAGAATCATATCTACTGGGATACTTTTCCTTTGTCAGTGAGTTTAAAGGCTAACCATTCCCAGGCTTATGCTTCCTGTAGAGTGTGTTAGTTGAGGCTTATTCTCCATGAATAAAAGTTCTTCTCAAACTGTCCATCCTGATTGTTTATTCTTAAGGTAATTTATATGTCACTGGATTTGTACATATCTGAAAGCAGTCTTGTAATTGGCACATTCCCAATGGTCTTTTTGAAAAACACTTCTTCTATTGTAGATGGGCTTATTGAACGTAAAGCCGGCAACAGCAATAAGAGTTTTCCAAAACGGCAGGGTTGTGTGGGATACCTAGAATACAAAAACATAGGGAATCTTACTGAGGTTTTCCACAGTTCTCTAAAAGTCAAATTAGCTTACCTCATAGAACAGCAAATACCCGAATCAGCAAATTGTATGATTGGATGTTACTTGTGGGATGAACATTTATATTATATGAGTCCTTACTCATAGATTCATAGATTATAGAGTCAGAAGGGACCACAATGGATTATCGTATCTGACCCCCTGCCCCTGGCAGGAAAGAGGACCGAGGTCAGATGACCCAGCCAGATGACTATCAAGCCTCCTCTTGAAGACCTCCAAGTTAGGTGACAGCACCACCTCTCTTGAAAGCCCATTCCAGATTCTGGCCACCCTTACTGCAAAAAAATTCTTCCTAATGTCTAACCTAAATCTACTCTCCACTAGTTTTATCCTTTTCTTACATGAGCTGAAATGTTGACTTTAGTGGGAATGCTCCTGCGTGAGTTTAGCAGGATTTGAGCCAATATTTGTTATCTAGATATTTTGTTTAGTTCCCTCAGAAGGATAACTCCTACAGAGACAAAATGTTGTCCTGGCATCTGAGACAATAATCATGAATTAGGTGCAATTCACATGAGAATCATAAGTAAACTGTGTTGATAATATTAAAAATTAAATTTACCCAGCATGTTATATGAATTATTTTGCATGCTTCTGGGTGCTATATAAATACTGTGTAAATATTACCAGTTTACATTTAAAAGAGTAAAACTCTGATTAAGTAGCTAAGTTGCCTCCCCTGCACTCAGAAAATCTGCATGTATAAAAGGCAGTTCTACATTCTCTTCAGTCACAGATCCCTTCCAGTTTTTAAAAAGTAAAACAATATGAGGCACGTTTAGATCTTACTCATGCTGGTTTAACACCAACATAACTCTGCTAAATTCAGAGCAATTACTCCTAACTTACATAGTGTAAGTGAAAAAGGAATTGGGTCTAGTATGAGAACATTCCTACTGCAGCCATTTAAACCTGGAGCAGTTGCCCTGAAATCAAATGATTTCACCAATGTGAAATCAAAAGATTGACACAAGTGTAAAATGAGAGCGAGAGCAGAATCAAGCCATCTCTCTTCATGAGAATGAAATCCTGATCCCATTGAAATCAATGTGAGCTCTGCCATGGATTTCAGTGCAAGCAGGGCTTCACCTACAAAATTCCACACATTATTATGAGAATACATCAAAATATAGTGCAAACCATAAGGCACTGCAAAAAAAAAAAAAAAGGAAACAAATGTTTTGTTTTAGATCCAGAAGACTCAACTAACAGCATTTTTGAATGCTTGCCTTTCCAGAAAAGTGGCATAGATTTTTCTGCATTAGTAAAATGCCAAACAGTATGGATTTAAAATAATGAATTACTGAGGGAGGCTAGAGAGAAATAATGTTGTTCCTAATTTCTGCTTTTACTTTTTACCCATGTGGTATTGGGCTTAATGCTAGCTCCTGCAGAAATATCCATGGAAGAATATGATCTATTCAATATGTTTTAGTGCCTGGCATCACTGTTGACAGCAGTCTGGGCTGCGGCATAGTTTTTGTGTCACTCAGTCAGTAAGTCCCAAGCTTATGCCTGGGATTTTTGGAACCTAATTCTCCTCCAACACTGAAGCATGTGGAACTATACCAGTGTACAACTAGTGTAAATAAGAGGATTTCCCAGGCATTCACCAGCGGAAAATCTGTTCCCGTGGAATGTGGAGTATAACATCTTTGGCTTTTCCCTCTGACTGCTCATGTAAGCCTGAATCCCATGGCATAATATTAATGTGGAGATTCTTCCATAGGCCACAAAGATGCCACTCTGGCCCTTTCAGTATGTACTGCTGCAACAGGCTGCTGTATGTTTGTTAACTTCCACAGTGTAGGTTACTTTCTTCAGTCTAAACAAGTGGACTTCAAAGACAGTGAGCATCATTTTTCTTATAGATATAAAGCAATTAAAAGTGTTCTTGGGTTTGGAAAATAATTGAATTTAAGCGTAGGTGATAGCTGTGTTTAATTTTTAGGATTTCCTTAGGGATGTGTTGCCATTTGAATTCACACATGTAACTCACTGATCATTAAATCATATCCTTTATTTTATTCTGTTCTTATATAATGCTTAATGCCACCATTTCTTAGTTAGTCACATATTTGTTCTCTCCTTCTGTCACCAGAGACAGAAATGTGTCTAGTGGAGTGTTTTGTATTAGATGTACACACAGATAAATACGTAAACTGACATTGTTGTATGTTCATATTTAGGGCAAAGTCAAAGGAAGGGCCTGGTGCTTGGAGCAGAAGATGGTGAGGTTTGTGGTCATTTCTGAGGGAATTCATTCAACAGTCTTTGACTGTCTTCTGAGAAAGCTATTTCTTGCACAGAAGAGCTTTATTTTTTTTCACAAGAGAGCTCCATTGTCCCAGAAGAGTGAAGGGGTCAGTGGAAGGTGAGGAAAAGCCCTTGTTGAAAAGAGTAAATTTGAGTGTTGCCCATTCTTAGAACAGTAGTAGAGGAAGATGCCAACAGTGGATCCAGGATTTACCTCAAAGAGGGGTGCAGGAGCAGCAACCTGCACTGCAGGGGTGGTTACACCCCTAGCTGACAGCCTTTTTTGCTCCCCCCCAATGCAAAAAGACCCCTTTAAAAGCCTCCTTCTTCAAGTCCCTAAAACAGGTGAAAATCCCCACTCCCCTTCCCTCCCCTCAACCCCTCCCTTCATCTGGGGATAGGGATAGCAGCCACAGCATGACAGAAGAGTAGTTCCCTCCTCCCTGCCCCATCTCCTGAAAGCAGCTGCAGGGCAGGGGATTCCCCCTGCCCATCCACACTGCCATTGTCACCATCCCCAACTGAGCCCAGCCTGCATGCGGCCAGGCTGGGGCAGAAGAAACAGCCCCTGGTGCTTCTCCCACCCCCAGGACAGCAAAGAAAGCAACAGCACCAGGTGGGGGAGATAGAGAAGAGGAGGGGAGGGGGGATTTGCACCTCCTTTAGGATCTTAAAAAAGTCCCCAGAGGCTCCTGTGGTGCAGTCCAATCCAAAAGGGGAGGGTGCAGCCACACTACTGTGGATCCAGGCCTGGAAGAAGCAGTTTGATATGATTAGACCAGTGGTTTCTAACCTTTTTTTGCTGCAACCTGGTGCTGGGAGTGGAGCCTGGGGGCAGGGGCTTGGGAGCTCCCGGCATGCGGTGCAGCTTGTTTTTGGTGTGCAGTGCCACCGACATTGCCTCTGCAACCCTCATTTGGGTCGCGACCCGAGGTTGGGAACCACTGCATTAGGCATTACATAAATTTAGAAGGGGACAAGGGTAGTGAACTGCAAAGGGAATGGGAAAGCTGCAAGGTACCACAGAGAAGTTATACCCCTTCCTTTCCTTTCTACCTACTCCCTCCATCTCTAAATTGCTTCATCTTCAAGGCCAACTTAAGTAGGGGCAAAACCATTCAGAATTTATGACTGCAGCCCCTCAAATGGCTGGAAGAGTTGCAAAGAATGAGCTAGAAGAAGCACCCTTTCTTCCTTTGCACTTTTCTCCCCCATGCATCTCTCCCCACAGTGTCCTAGTTGCCAAATGAACGGCTTGGGCCACACTCTTAGACTTGTGGCCCAAGTTGGGAAGTTATTCTAAGCAGTGGTAATATTAAAAAGATGGTTTATATAGTAAGAAGAATAGTAGAGTGGTTTGTAGACTGCATAGTGCCTTCCCAGTTTTATTGTTAATTTTAAAAGGTGACAGTTGCACCTTCTTATGGTTGTTTTCTGCATCTTGATTATGTTACACAGGACTAGACTGAAGTGAAAATCTTCTTTATATATTTTAACTCTCATAATTTTTGTTGCTATGGCCCTAACTAAGAGTCACAAGATCTCAGTTTTTCTGTTCCCACCTCTGGAATGAGTTCACTCTAGGGTCTTGGATGAGTGATTTGACTTCTCTGTGCTTCAGTTTCCCCACCTCAAAATGGGTATAACAAAACAGTAAAAAGTTTTAAATTCTTGGAAGAAAAGTGCTGTTATTTTTATATGTGTTGTTGCTTTTATTGTTTTTGTTACTTAATGCTGTGAAAAATCCCAGATGGAAAAAACTCCATTTTCCCATTTATCTGAATACATTCCATATCCCTTATTCCATTTGCAGAATCTAGATTCTACCACAGACGTACAGTCATCATTGACCTGGTGTGTGACATTTTGGCCCCATTAAATTAATGGAAATGTGCCACTGCCTTCATGGAGGGCACCTACAGCATTTTAAAAGCATATTGAAAAAAAAAGCAGTCACCTGGTATGGATGTAACTGTTCAGAGTGAGCTGAGCTTCATCTTGAAGGGCTGCAATGGCGGCAGCATTTCGAAAACTTCTGAGTTCAGAACCACTGTGTGTAGGTACTGGAAAGCAGATCCGTAACCAGTCAGTTTGACTCTTCAGTTGGTCAAAAACATTTACATTAGTGTTAATTAAATTTATCTAAGAATGCACTATGATTTGTACAATGTTTTTAATGCTTACATGAAACACTGCCTATCAGTACTGAGCAGCAGAACACTGTAAGCCGATGTAATTGGATCTCTGCTACAAAATGTTGTTTTAAGTAGCTAACCAATAGCAATCAGAGTGAAAAAGCAAGGGGATATTTCTGCTTACCAGCTTTAAAAGTGACAATGCATTTGAGACAGGCAAATTCGGTAGCATCTAGCCGAAGTTGTCTAAATCTAGCCACAACCTCCTGTAAAGCCTGTATTTCTGAAATAATTTTATTCAGCTTCTGAGAGTCTGTATTGTCACCATTCATGCCTACAATAAAAACATGTGAAATAAATACTCTAATATTAAGGCATTTGCAGTATTTTATATTGATTTCTGACAAAATCCTCTGTATCAATATCTATTCAATTGTCACTCTTAGATATCTGATGCCATGTAAACTGACTATATTGTATGAAAGTTAATATAAAATCTTCTCTTGAATGATAACAAACACAGTAATTTGCATTTAAATAACAATGCAAGCAGTCATGAATACAACAAAACAACATTATTTGCATTTAAATATAGATTTATAAATGACAGGTATGCTCTATTGTTCAGTACAAATTTGTTATTCTTTACATGTTGTTCTTTTTTCAGTAATGTATTTTTATGGTAATTTCTATAACAAAGTCATTAAATTGTGCAATTCTTACCAGATACAGCCAGTAGAGTGTTAGCATCAACTGGAATGGCCCATTGTGCTATTCCTAGAACAAACAGTTCTCTCCAAGCATCTTCCAAAAGCATCAGCTGTCATACAATAGATGTACAATATAACATGGTGTATAATTTATAGATTTATAAACAATTTCACTATGTAAATTTCTGTTATTTTAAAAACTACTTTAAATGCCTGTCATGGTATTTTTCCCTCTGAGTACTTTAGCTTTTCTTTCATCTTTTTGATAAGGTATCTATGCCTAACCATATGCATTGTAGATCTATTACTGGGACTAATGACTTGTTTTAGGCTGTGGGTGGAGAGAATCTCCATGGTGTTAGGTGCTGTACAAACAGAAACAGAGACAGATCCCGCCACAAAGGCCTTGCAGTCTATATAAACATCTATGCATATTTTTCTTGAGTAGGCTTCTACAGTGAAAGGTCTCTTCTCTCCATGTGCACCTCAGTGTTGGAGTCCCCCGGGGTTCAGTGGTAGAATACTTGTCTGCCATACAGGACACCTGGGTTTGATTCCTGGATGCTTATACAACCACAGCCATGGAGGCACCGAACAACTGGACTCAGTCTGTCCTTTGGATTTGGTCTCGGTGGCATAAAGGGGAGATGAAAGATCTGGGTAGCCTCCACTCCTCCCTAGTCATATGTGTTGAAGGTCTGGGTGACCTCTTGTGCATGCACCATGATCTGGAAGGATTAATGGTTGCCACTAAAACCCTCAGTGTTAACAAGTATACATGTAGAGGGGGGAATAGAACCTGAGCAGTTCTTTTGGTGATGTTTTATGTTACAAATATATGATTTATCAAATCAATGGTGACCTCATTTGCTAGAGAGTTCCTTCAAAGCACTACTTTATGATCACCAGAAATAGCTTTTTTACCTTTAACCCATTCTTGGCTGAACACATCTGTCATTCTTAGATAGTACACGGAGATACTTGCATATTTTCAATTTGACTTGTTTTCCTATTTTTGCTTAAGATAATCCTTGCAAAGTGGTTGCTGATTTTTTTTACCTTCAGAGTGAGACCCTTAGCTACAAACTTCCCTCACCTGTTTGAATCCAGACCCAAGCATTTTGGCTTGTCCTTCTCTCTGCATAATGGACCAAACAATTCCAAACCCAAGCAACCAAGAAGTCTGGGGTACCAAGATTTAGATCTGGTCAGTGCAGTTTGTGACATGGTTTGCTCACTCATTTGGTGATGTAGATTTTTTTTCACAGGGAGGCTGAATGGCAACCACTGTGCTATGCTTGACTCTTCTTTTGCACTAAGACAATCCAGTTGATTTCACTGGAGATGCACTGGTGTACAGGAGAAGAGAATTCAGCTTTGTTACGGCTTAGACTGGTAAAAACAGCACAGTGTATTTTTGCATGTATGGACTTTTGGCCTAACCCACTTCCTTTGCCAAAACTTCATTAGTTCCATGATCTGAGCTGGGGGACATGCCACAGAGAGCACATGGTAGGATCACCATACTTCTTTGTATTCCAAGACAAAGTGGAAGTTATTTTGGGAGCAAGGCAGAAGTAAGCTCAGGAAGCACTGTTTGGTGACTTCCCTGTAATGAAGCTGCTTTGCCCTTTTAGGAAAAGGAAGCAAAGCTCAGGACTTGATGATGCTACTGCCATGCTAAGACTTCTGTAAGGGGTTGCAAAAGTGGCCATTCCGGTGCTTTGAAACTGGTGGAAGAGGTGGAGGGATTCCTAACTATCTGATTAACCTCAGCCTAATAAATTTTGCATGCTAGCCAAAGATTTTGCTTATAAACTCAGATGTCTCAACTATATAGTTTATTAGGGGAAATGGAAAGTCACCTATCAGGCCTACCAATTCTGGCAATGTTTCTTTAACATGGAAAAAAAGGTAGACAAAATTTTAATTGAATTTCCATTTTCTTAGACTCAAATGTGTAAGCAGTGTATATCAGTAGTATCAATATCATGCAAAAAATGTAATTTCCTTATTATATGCCTAATGTTTAATACTTAGTATTTCAAACTGCACAGATTTCATTAGATTGAGGGATAGAGCTTCACAAGTCAAAATACTTATCATCACAGTCATTTCATACTATCTAAAATGTGTTGCAGAGATTTAATACAACATTGAGATAGTGACTGCAAAGTAAGTAATCATAACTATTTATACATAATCAATGTTTAAGTAATTGCATTGACTTTTACAGTAACAAAGACTGCACAGCATATTATGCTACAGTTGAAAAAATGTGAAGTGCAGTATCCTTCTCAGGTCTGCTCTGAGTAGAACAGAACGAACTCCTAATTATTTCTGAACACTGGAGACTATAAGCTATATCCTCCTCCAGATAATCTTTGCTTTATAAAGAACTGATATCTCTTTTAGATATGCAGGTTTCTGTGTTGTATGAAGAAATCAATTCAGAGCCACTTATTTCCTTTAAAAAATCTTTTTGTCACTCAGTCATGCAGATACAACGAGAATGAACTGTGTTTCCTGGAAGATATCAATTTCGTATTTTCTTTCCCACCTGAAGCCTGAAGACTTCAGAAAGTTAAAGGGCTTTAGTCTCTGATAGCTGAGTTTCTTCAAATTCCTATGCATAAAGCTTTAAAAGCACCAGTTTGATTAATTGATGTTTAATTTATAAATGACCCTTGTTTCTCAAAGTAATTAAAAAAATCTCTGAGTTTTTTGAGATTCGACCCTTATTTCTACTTTGCTCCAGAATAGGCAATGGTCTTGAACAGCTGTGACCAAACTGGCTTCTGAGCTGCATGCAGCTTCCAGGCAGCTTATATGCAGCTCCCGAAGAAAATCATTTAATGACAAATTATTATTTGAGCCAGAGTACTATACTCAGATCATGGACTCTGAAGCGTATGCATCTCCAGAGTTGTGTGTCCTACAGCTGGTCTGAAAGGATGACCTTTTGTTAGTGATGGGCATATTGTCAACAGGCTGGTTTTCACACTTTTCAAGATAGAACTGTGACATATAGTTATAGATTCACAATATTTTAATTTTTCTAGATGATTTCTAAACAAAAACAGATCCTAGGAAATGATTTCGGACTCTGCTCAGGCAGACATCGGAGATATACAAAGGAAATTCAGATATCAATATCCATACCACTGTCAAATTAAATTGAATAGTTGTTCAATTACAAGAATCAACTCTCTGATTAATTATGGGAAAAAAGGCTTTAAAAATCAGATCTTTGAAATTCTCCTGAGTGTGATAGAGGAACCAAGGTAGAAAGAAATTCAAACAAAATCCCAGAACTGAAAACCTTTTAAGTTTGAGAAGTCTTGATTATTTGAGCCAGAGTACTATACTCAGATTATGGACTCTGGAGCGTATGCATTTCCAGAGTTGTGTGTCCTGCAGCTGGTCTGAAAGGATGACCTCCTGTTATTGATGGGCATATCTAAAAAGAACCTTGAAACTTTTTCAACTCACCCATTTCTAGAAAATGTACAGAATAATGGAAAAGATGAAAGGCTTCCACTTTAAAAGAGACTCAATGGCTATTACAACTTCTTTATATGCAGTATTTGTAAAATAAAATATGTAGCTGGTTCTCTTAAGATGACAGGATATTCTGATGTCTGTGACAGGTAATTGTCCTATCTTTTTGAGGAACGTTGAGTGGTATAGAATGGTCTGTATTCTCAGAAATTCTTCCACTACCCCACCTCACTCCTCTAACAGGCATGGCCTCCAGGGGAATTTTTATAAATCAAACCAAATTAAGTCCTGGCCCAGGTGGACTGCCATTAATAGTAATGATCCAGGGCTGAACTGGACCACAGCTTGCGTTTTGAGAGAGCTTTCTTATTGAAGTGGCTGTGATATTCAGAGCAAAGCCCATTATGCATGTGGTCCAGGCCTAATTGTACTTCCTTTGAACTCTGTGATAGTCAGATCCAGCCACACAGGAACAACTGTAATTAAGCCAATGGTGGTGGCTTGCATTCAGCAGTGGAAGAATCTGGGCCATTGTCTTCATAAATACAGTTTCCTTTTCACTGTTAAGTCTTTGGCTTATGCCCTCATTGCAGCATCTCAGCCAGTGGCCCTGAATGTACAAATCTGATTCACCAGTGACAATACTTAGAGGGAAAATGAATGAGGCCCTGCCTATTTAATTCTGCAAAAGTATCCTCAAAATCTGGGACTAGCCCTGGCAAAGGGATATTTCAATTTATCTAAATAAATGCCTTTCTGTTTTAGGAAGACAACACCATTGCCCTTCTAAAAAGATCTTTTTTAGCTCCGAATGTGCACTTGTTTTGTCCAATAAGGCTTACAATGTTTGGTCTATGATACATTAGTGTATTCTATTTGGTGACTCTTAGAAGAGTCAATTAATATCGTTATATGTGCTATTTAAAATACGGTGTTTTTCTTTCTAGTAATCATATTACATAATTAAACTCAATAACATCAAAATATTAAGAATATTTTGTGATTGGAGTTTTGTATTGATTTTTTCTTTTATTATTGCCTGATTACTTTTCAGAATTAATACAGTATACACAATGCATCATGTCCTCATCAAAAATCAAGTCATTAAGAAATGACTTGGTTTGCACACAATTTACTTGAGGCAAAGGCAAGTTGTCACAGAGGAAAACAAGACAAATTAAGGAAGATTTTAATTAACAAAAAAGGGCAAGCCAAATTCTGCTCTCATCATCACACTGGCATGAATGTGAAGTAACTCCACCGACATAGAATGATTACAAAATCAACTGACAAATGTATACTACTAGAATTAAGAAGTATAATATCTAACTCATAAAGTACTTTTCATCCATAAGCACCAACAGATTTTAAAATAGAGAGTAAATATCATTACCCCCATTTTACAGAAGGGGAGGCTAAGACACAGAGAAGCTAAGTGATTCACCAAAGCTTACATAGTAGTAGAGCTGTGGAAGAGCCCAGAAGTAAAATCATGGATCCATGAAGTCAGATTGACTTTGTTAACCATTGACTTCAGTGGGGCTGGGATTTTACCTTAGGTCTCTTGTTTTCCTGCCTTGTGCCCTGCCCTCTGGAGTGTGCTGCCTCTTAAGAAAAATGATCTAATATCATCATTTGTTCCCTTTTTGAGTTTCATCTGCTCTATAAAATAACTATTTCAGTCACATGAAAATTGCTGTTCAAATAATATATCTTTGTTACTAGCCAGAACAAAAGCATTTAGAGCTCTGGAATGGTGAAAATCCAGATGCAGATCTGAATTTTAAAGACTGAACCCCTCTTAAATACTGTTACTGTAAGGGTAATTCCTTATTGTGTAATCCTTACCTGATCTTGTAATGACAAAGTGGAAAAGGCTGGAACACTTTTGGCCCATTTGATGCTCATAAAGAGAAGTCTGGCTGCGGATTCACAAACAGATTCAGTAGCCACTTCATAGAGATACATAGGTGTACCATTGACTTCATGTGGATACTGTTAGAAGAAATAAAATAAGTCAATATCATAAGATGAAGGGAAAACATCACATTTTTCACACATACACCCACCTGCACTTCAACAATTATTCTCCTATACAATATATAATTCCAGCAATCCCATCCTTCAGCCAACAAAAAAATCTTCCATTGGTTTCAGTGCCCCCTCTCTAAAGCATGTTACATGATTGCTGTTCATGTGGATAAATGATGTAGGATTGCACTACATTACAAGTAAAGACAGACTATACCTGTAACAGTTAGTAAAAAAGTCTGCTGATATATAGTTTGATCCCCTACCTGCAGAAGTTTTCAAATTCTGCTATAAGAGCAGGGAAATACTATATATATTAGGAGACCCCAATTCAAAAACTGATTCAGGCTTTATAAACCAGTTTGATTTACAACAATTTAGATGATTATCTGTGCAAATGTGCCTATATATATTTTGATAAAGTAATATGGATATATTTTGGTTCTTATGAATAACTCTCAGATAGCTCCTAATTTTTCAGGTTACTGATACTCTGTTTATACCATCTCAAAGCCAAGAAATAAACAGGAAGATTAATCACATTTGTGAACACAGCCATCTGGATAGACTCCAGTGATTTGTTCGGGACCTGACAATGGATTAGGGACTAATCGTTACAGAGGTGGACCTTTTATTGAACGGAAAGTCAACAATTCTCCTAGTCTAGCATCTAGTAAGGCTGAAACAAGTCGGCTGATGTGTAGTCTGTAGGTGGCAGTACTTATGCATTGTTCCACTGCACATGTGTGCATTTCTATGTAACACATATGCATATGTAAGACTGTTTAAAGTGCATGCGAGTGTGTTTAACTGCATAGAGCAAGAAACTCATATTTTACCCTCCATGTCAAAATGATCTTATGAATATTGAGGGTCCCATCTGGCAGTTCTGATTCAAACACAATTTTTGGGAAAACCAAGGGAATTTCTCACCCCTCTTAATGAACCCAGCTCTAAGCTGAGGTTCTCCCCACCTCGATTTTTTTTCTCAGTATTTTCCCTTAAATGTAACATCTTTTTGCCAGTCCTCTGCTGAGTAGAAACATAGAAAGACAGGGATGGAAGGGACTTCAAGAAGTTATCTAATCCAATCTGCTGCCCAAGGCAGGGCCATTCCTGGTTAACCCATCTCATCCAAGTGTTCATCTAGCCTGCAAAGTGCGAGATACATCAGCAGGAGAGAGCTGACCTTTGGAGTTGGCTGTGCAAGTCCCACTAAGGTCTGCCTTTCTGGAGTAGTGGACACAGCAGCCAGCTCTAGATTGTGGGGTTCCAGCTGGGTGACAGCAGTGAAGAAGGCGGGGGCGGGTAAAGCAGCAGAGGGAAAGTGTGGGGTAGCTCCATTCTCTTCCTTGTGTCCTCTGAAATACAGAGCTACTTGCTTCCTTATTGTGGATGTCCGTGGGCCCCTTTCATGCTGAACAGCTGGAGGGTGCGGGGAAGGGGAGGAAAAAAGACTCAGGAAATCAAGTGACTCAGAAAGGCTCCTGTTGTCTTCACCGGGGCTCCTAAGGCACAGTCACCTAGTGAGCTGTGCTGAAGTAGTGGATCCTGCATATCCAATGCCTTCTAGCACGCACAGCATATATCTCCCAGGGCAGATTGTTTTACCCAGACCCAGTCAAAGCATGATCTGGTGTGCCTGGACATGCATAGCCATCTCTCCAGCCCCTCTCTGTTACTAGTTACATAAGTGCCAGCAGGAGATTTAGAGTTATCATCACTTTCCCTTGCCCTGCTCACAGGTGGGTAGGTGGTGGGTGTGTCACAGCAGCCTGCAGGGCAGATCTGCCAAAGCCCAGGTGTTCATACTTGGCAAGGTCCTGGCTGTGCCCTTGCCAGGCAGTGTCTCAGATCCAGCAAAGCCTTCTGCCTTGACAGGAGTCAAGCCTGAGCTGGGGGGAGAGCTATCACTCAAGGCTGTGACCCACTTGGGCCCCCAGGGAAGATTCCTCTAAGTGGTAGATCTAAAAGGCTTCCAGGACACATGGGACCTGGGATGGGATGGGGCTGGCATTATACAAGCCTGTGCCCGCCTCACACACCCTGCAACCCCTGCCTTTGCCCTTGATCCTCTCATCTCCCAGAGCCCGGGAGAGTGAGTGGCTAGATCTAGTCTTCATTCGCCCAGGCAGGCCAAAGGGTTCAACTACCATCTTTGTTCATGTTGACTTCCAGGCACTTCTTCAGCCGGCAGGCCCGGCACTGGTTCCGGTGCGTCTTGTCCACTGGGCAGCCCCCCTGCAACAAGCACAGCACAGCCCTGCCATGAGAAGGGGGGACTGGGACAACACAGTGCCTGCCCCACCACACAGACTACACCCTGGCCAGGGTCCAGAGGAGGGCAACAAAGATAATCAGTGATCTGGAGCGGTTCCCTAGGGGGAGAGGCTACACTACAGAGGCTAGGCCCGTTCAGTTTGGAAGAGAGAGAGATGCCTGATGGGGGGACATGACAAGGTCCACAATATACTAAACAGTGCAAAGCAAGGACACAGGGATTTTTGATGTGCTGTCTCTCACAGTTCAAGAGCTAGGAGTCATGAAATGAAAGGAGTACGCAGGCAGCTTAAATGTAACACAAGGAGGTTCCTTTTCACCCAGCATGGCGCTGCAGTTCGGACAGAACTCCTGGCCACCCGGAGGTGGGGAAGCTGACAGGTTAGCCACATTCGAAAAAGGGCTTGGACACATTCTTGGAGGAAAGGGGCATCAGGAGCTATTAGGGACACAGCCTCTGAATCAGAACTAGACCTTAAACTTCTGGAGGCTGCAAGACAGAAAGGAACAGTGAGGAGGGAGGAAACCCTGGTCAGACCCAGTTCACTCCCCCTTTTAGCCTCCACTCTGTCACTGTGTGACAGGAGGTGGAGCAAAAAGGACCTATGGTCTGACATTGGCAATTCCTATGTTCTTATCCCTTGGGAGTGCCCCAGGCCCCCTGGGCACCTGGCTCCAGATCTGGGCTTAGCTGGACCAGGGAAATCTGGAGTGGGATCCACACATGGCCCGGGCAGGCAAGCCCTGGGGAAGTGGTGTTGGGCAGGAGACAACCACCAGCCAGAGGGCACCCAGCCCTGCCCTCACCTTATTCTTCCAGCCCAGCTCTGCCTGTGCTCCAGCCTTAGCCCCATGCCTGAGGCTGGTCCCCTCCTCTGCCAGCCTGTCCCGCAGACACAGAGGGGCACAGGGCTGGAAGGGGACATGTAGCTGGCTGGGGTTAGGGGGAAGGTGGGGAGAGAAGGCAGCAGGGAGCTGGGGGTTGGGGGGGCAGCCTTGTCCCAGCCTGCCCCTCATCCTCTCCTGGGCCCCTCCAATGCACTGCCTGGAGTGGGGCTGGTCAGATAGGGTTGGGGCCAGTGGAGTGGCTGTGTCCAGGCCAGGCCATCCATGTCCTGGAGACTGAGGTTTGACCTCAGGTCTTGGGAGCAGTGCCAGGAGCTGCCAGTGTTCCCAGGGCAGGGGGGATCCCATGAGGGCCCAGCAAGGTGCAGTCCACGCCCTGCTGGCCCCTGTGCCGGGGTGTGGGGGGTGGGAATGCCCAGCCAGGGGAGGTGCCAGTCCTGGTCCCTACAGCCCGGGGGTACCGGTACCTGGTTTCCTGACTTGCAGACGTAGGTCCTGTTCCTGCGGATGCTCCGCTTGAAGAAGCCAGAGCAGCCATCACAGGCATAGACGCCGTAGTGCTTCCCAGAGCTGCGGTCCCCGCACACCTTGCAGGGGATGTCAAGGATGCGACCTGTGGGCGGGTGGGCACAGGGAGCGGCGCTGAGCAGGGCTCACCAGGGACCCTGAGCAGGGCTTGTGGCCCTCACTGCCCCTTGCCACAGGCACCTCAACTCCCTCTGCACTGCCCACTCCCCCACCTGCAGCCTTGGCAGGAGCTGGGCTGGGGGCAGGGGCAGAGGCTGGGGTTACAGCAGGTGCTGGGCCCCCCGTCCCAGCGAGGGGGACTGTCTGCACAGGGCTCCCCCCCCCCCCCCC